GAACAAATTTAGGAGATTTGTTTTGCCATCAATTTAGATAAAATAAAGACCAGAAAAGAAATCACTATAATTTGCCTCTCATAACAAGAGGTCTTATAAAGTACATTCTAGGACCCCAGAGGAAAAATAATTTCCCCAGGAATACAGAGTATGTTCCATGAAAATTAGTTTTAGCATAAACTGAATAAAATAAAAGATGAAACTTGAAAGGGGCCAAATGTTAAGTATTTGTTTGGACCACTAAGATGATGAGAAATTAAAGAATAATATCTATCTATAGATATTAACTTTGTAAAATAATATTTTAGAGAATAAATTATAAGAAGTCTGGGGGTGAGGGCAGGATCAATAAACAACCAGAATGATATACTAGAAAAGTGAACAAAATTAAATATATCTGAAATGTTGGATATACTACTTCTACAAAATAACAGATGGAAAATTTAAAATATATATATATATATATATATATATACACACACAAAGATGTTAATGATACAGTGAGGGTCACCAAATGTAAGTAAACAAGAGTTTTGCCACTATGGTGGTGGTGGTATTGTTGTGTGCCATCGAGTTGATTCCAATTCTTAGCAACCCTATACGACAGAGTAGAACTGCCACATCGGGTTTCCTAGGCTGTAATTTTTATGGGAGCAGATAGCCAGGTCTTTTCTCCAGCGGAGTGGCTGGTGGGTTCAAACCACTGACCTTCAGTTCTGGTTAGCAGCCCAGCACTTAACCACTGCACCACAAGGGCTCCCTGCCACTATAGTATAAGCCCATTAAAACCAAAAAACCAAACCAAACCTGGTGCTGTCGAGTCAATTTCAACTCACAGCGACCCTATAGGACAGAGCAGAACTGCCCCATAAGGTTTCTAAGGAGCAGCTGGTGGATTCGAACAGCTGACCTTTTGGTTAGCAGCTGAGTGAGCTCTTAACCACTGTACACCAAGGCTCCATAAGCCATTACTCGTATGAATGGGAGGCAATAATGAGTAGAAGCCAGGATCTGAACACCAACAGACAAAAAAAAAAAGCTACCAAATTTGAGAAAGCAGGAAACTTTTAACTTTAAAGTTTACCAAAATTTGATGCTATCTTCCCTAACAAAGAAGCTGCCCCACCCAATTCCTAGTTTCTATTGATTTAAAAAAAAAAAAAAGGTAAAGAGGAATTTATTACAAATCCAGGAGGCTAGCTAGCAATTAACTCTAATTTCTCTCACATTTCCCTTCTTCAAACATTACAACTACTAAACAAAACTCACTAAAAGTCCCATATTATCTACTATACCAAAAAAACCAACAAAAAGATCCAAATATAAAGAGAAGAAAGGAGCAGAATTATTATTTGCATAACGTAAACATTCCTTACATCCAGCAATGCTTCATTACCAACAGGGAATGTACGTCTAGGAGTGTACCTATTTTAACAAAATTGGATGTCCCAAAGAGTATATGGTGAAGACATCTATTTACATTTAATTAGCATTACACAAGATCTGTTTCAAATTAGTTTTTGTTTAAACAAACTGTAACATTGTTTCTCATGACTTTTCATCTCTAGATACAGTAAGAGACCTGGGGTTATTGAATGCAACGTGTGGTTAATAATGCAGTAGACAATGATTCCATGTACTGTTTGCATCAATACTTAATCTCTGGAATAATATCCACATAATTTACCACCGATGAAATATGTGTTTAAAGGTATATGAAGAAGCAAATATTTATATATTCCATCAAACTCTGCAATCATAGTCTGGGGAATTTTAGAACAAAACTAGCTACTTGTATCATTAATCAGAGTAAAAACTGTTTAAGAATATACTCGGAAGTAAAATAAAGGAAACAAATCCTGGTCACAGGACTATATCATGAAACAATTTCACCAGAGGTACAAAGTTCAACTTCCTTCACTACTGGGAAAATATGTAGTTCAAATTCAAGAGCCAACTTTTCTCTATGCATAAAAATAAATGACAGGTTTGTAATTAAGAAGAAGTTAACTAGTTAGGCCGCCAAGCAATAGGTGGAACTAAAGATTCTCCTAGAAGCAGGAAAAGTACTGGCTGCTAAGCACTACATTAAGAAATTCCATAACTTCCTCAAGAAAAGCCTCAGAGTAGGAGCCTTATTTTAAAGAGTTACTTTCAATTATCCATTAAGGATTATAGCAAAAAGAAGAAAAAATAAATAAAACCCCAAATCAAAACTGATGACAGTCACCACCAGAAAGACTTCCTTCAGTCATCTGGTTGATGGCGCTGGCTTTGGCTGGGCTCCTCTTAGCATCTACTAAGATGAAAAGAAGAAAGCTAGGAAGAATAAGTGCTGCAGCAGCCATATCCTACAGTCCAGTTCACTCTTCCACCATGGACTCTGTCAGGAGACGATATGAGATCATTCCCTGCTAACATTACATCTTACAGAAATGGTTAAATTTTACTCTCACACTGTGCTAGTTTCTAAATGATGTTACGAATATAAACAGTTACTAGTCAAGACAAGAGACAGAAGGCTAAGTACACTTTACAATATCTTGTTAAATTTAAAAATCCATTTACCTCAAAAATTGTAGACAAAAGGAAAAAACAATGTGAAGGGCAAGTTCCTTTTTAAATTCCTTTACTCCGTATTTTCAACCTTTTGAAAGTTAATCACAACAGTAAAGAATCTTCCTCTCCCCTGGAGATAATACTTATGCTGTTTTTAATCATTCACTAAGTTCTACAAAAAACCCCTTAAAATTCGTAATTTCTCATATTTAAAGTCTTGTGTTTAACCTGCAAAAATCTTGCTAACTTATAACAAATGTCGCTTTTAAGCAAAGCCATTTAAGAAAGCCATTTAAAGTAATGTCTAACATGAGACTATTAAGAAAACTAAGAATATGATTTTTTTAAGTGATTAATATTTTAAAATCACAACTTGTTTAGAAACAAGAGTATTAATCTTAGATGACACAGATGTAGTGGTATCCTTCAGAAATTATTTGAGTGTATCTTTAAAAAAATAAATATACTATTAAAAATAAGTATATTTATTATTAATGATTACAAAATGTGCTGCACCCATGAATAGAAATTATTACCTTTATTTTGACTAAACTTTTAAAATAGTACAGTGTCTTTGGTTGTCAAAAAAGCAAAATTTTTTCTACTATAAAAACCAACTACATTCTGAGAATAAAATTTTATTCAACACAGTATTACTGAACACACTCTAAACCTTTAATCATTTTCCTGAATTTGATATATAGATTGAGAAAACATATAACATGAAGACCAGGCTAATGTTAAAGATAAAACTCCCCAGTTTTCTAAAAAAATCATAATAATTTGAAAATACATCAGCTTTCTCATCAATCTATCAACTTTAAACCTATTTTTGAAAAGAACAGATATAACCTCATCTCTGCCCCAACTAATCAAACCAAAACACAAGGCAATGATGCAGATGTTCTCATTATTCCTTTACTCATGGGATTTGAACTAAATGGGACTTAGACTAGTAAGTGCTGTATATACAGCGTTTTGCATATTACAGACAGTGCCTAACTGGCTGAATTATAGCCCCAAAGTCTTTTCACAACCCTTCACATAAGGGTCTGTAGGTTTGAGTGAAGAAAGAATTTTGGAATTCACAAAACTATACAGAAAAGGATGTTTAAAATCTACCAAAGTTTAAAAACTTAATAACAATTTAAAAACATAAACCAATAAACTTAAAATGAATATGACAGAACTGACTATATTATGAAAATCTTAATTTAAGATTGTAGGACCATGTGAGTACAAGTATACATACATCCACAACACACACACATATGTACACTGCACCACAGACCATCAGTTCTGATTAAGCTCAGGGACTATTAAAGAGGTATGTCCAAAGAGAGGTGCTGAGAAAAAACAAAAAAACAAGCAATTCAACAATAAAAAAAGTGAGAAAGATTAACATATTAAATTCTTCTCCAGATTTTTCTAGCATTTTATGGTGAAAGGATGGACTAATCTCCAGCACAAGCCACAATTCAGCATCCCATTATATTCTAAGACATGCTATATTAATGAGAGCACATTCAGCAAAAACAGTGTGATTTTTAATAACATTGTAATCATAATTCTCTCCTACAAACATCTTATATGATAGAACCACATTCCACCAATGCTGAAACAACCAACAATGTTGTGGATAACAAAATATATGAGGACTACTACATACTAACAGATTTCACTGTATGCAGTCTGATCAATGCTTTGAAACTGGCAAGTATGCCATAAACGTAATGTGCTTTGCAACAGATTTTACTAGCATAAAAGGCACCAGGGAAACGGGTCTTTTTACCCACCCCTTCAACAATATTCAGCAATATCAAGAGATTTACAAAAGCTTCTACTCAGCTAGGCACCTTAGTCTTATTCAAAACCCAGATTCTATTCAACAGCTCTAAGCAGGAACACATCACCCAGTCACCTGAACTACCTGGACTAGTATAGTTAGGCTGTCAGTTCTGAGATGTTGCTAGCGTGCAAGAAACACTGGAGCAGCTAAGCCTTCCTAGGTACACTAGATAGTTAACCTTGGTACGAAGTGCCTCAATAGTAAGAACATTTTTCCCTGTTAGAATATACGTAAGACTGTTCCAAAGAAAATGCTACAATCCTCAGGACCTTTTCCACAAAGAAGAGCAGAAAAAGGCCGGCTTTTTCCAGTGAAAAACTGTCTGCGATGGGAGACAGAGCTACAAATTTAGGAAACCTAGATTCTGGTCGCAATTCAGTGACAGCTTACAAAGCAGCCCTGCCAAGTCAGAGCTCAGTTTTCCCACCGGCAAAATGGGAATCACCACCGCCACCCCTCCCCCTCCAAGGACTCAGGCACACCCTAGAGGTCTAAGATTACCCGGGACGATAAAGCTGGGGGAGGTGCCGCCGCTCCCAGGATGCCCACCCCGGCCCCCTCCCCCTGCGACAGAAAGGCAGGGCCGGTGTACCTGGCTTCACAGTCTTGAGACGGACAGGCTCGCGGAAGTGGCGGATGACAGCCAAGGTATCCCGGTTGGTGAGCCCGCTGACAGGCGTCCCGTTCACCTCCAGCAACACATCCCCGGAGCTGGGCGCCTTGCCGGAGACGACGCAGCAGGTGCCCCCGCCCGGCTCCTCGCGGAGCCGCCCCAGGTAGGGGAACTCGCCACGCTCCGCGCCGCCCCGGATCTCGGCGCCCAAGTCGCCCGGGGACCCGGCCCAGGACACCGCGCACTCCTGCACCTTGCTGAGCCAGTGCTTCTTCTTCTTCAGGGTCTTCGACATCCCGAACCCCGCTGCACCATGGGGGAGACCCGGCGCGGGCGGCCGGGGCGCCGCTCCGGCCCCTTGTCAGCCTGGGGGCCCCAGGCGGCCCGCGCCGCCCGCCGAGGGGGGCCTCGCAGCCCGGCCCCCCCGACCACAGCCCGCTGGGGGCCCGGCCGCTCCAAGCCCCGAGACGCCCCTCGGACGCCCCTCCCGGCTGCGCTCCCCCGGGCTGAACGGGCTTGGCGAGGGTCACTCCAGATTAGCGTGAAGAAAGGAGAAGGGAATTGCCCCCGGGCGGCTCCAGAAGGGGTTTCGGGCGGGGTCACTGCCGACGGCTGGCCCCCGGGCTCCGCGCCCGAGCGGCGGGAAAGGCTGAGACAGGGGGGCGGGGAAGTGAAGGGAGAAGAGCCGGAACGTAAAAAATCCGTCGGGGACGCGCAGAAGCGCGCGTAGAAGCGTCGCTGGATCGATCTTGATCGCTGCAGAGCTGGAGCGCGGAGACCAACGCCTGCCCAAGCTGCCAGGAAACTGCCGCTTTCAAACCCGCCGCAACCTCCTCCTCCTCCCTCCTCCCTTCCCCCCGCCCTCGCCCATCCCTCATCCAGAACCCCGCCCTCTCCCGCCGCGCGGCGCCCGGCGCGCTGCCGTCACAGGCCAAGCGCTTGGGAACGAGCCCCAGCGCTCGACTTTCACGCCGGGGATTGGCCCTCGGCGGGCAGTGGGCGTACCCTCACCGAGAATGAGGACCACTGATTGGCCGATGGGAGTGGAGGAGGCGGGCACTAGAATGACTGAAGTTTAGAGAGGGTGGAAAAAAGAAGTTTGAAGGGTGGGAGGGGAGGAGGGGAGGGGGAGTGGAGTGGACTCCAGGTCGCAGGGACGGGAGAGGCCGTCCGCACTGTTGCTAGAGCCAAGAGAAAACTCGGATATGAAGAGCGACAGAACTCCCCGAGGTAGAGGCTTGGCTGGCGAGCCGGGCTGCTTGAGGGCGGAGCCTCGGAGCGTGCGCCGGGCGCTGATAGAAGCCCGGTGTACTGTGGTAGGAAGGCGACGTGCGGAGTCCGTGCTCCCATGTGGCGGCACCTCCAGGATAGTTACTTATGAGATTCTTGTTCAGTCAACAGATGTTATTTGTGTGCCACTGAGGCCTGAACTCTGGTGTCTGGTTGATGGAAAGTAAAATAGAGCCCTGAACTTAACTGCTGTGTGACCTCGGGTAAGTTAGGCAACCTCTCTGAGCCGCAGTAGTCGCGACTGAAAAATGGAGGTGATTATACCTACCCCTCCAAGATGCTGTGAAGATTAAATGCGACACATGGCAGAGGTTAGATGCTTCTTAACGTTTGGTAGCTGATAAGAGGATGTTGATGACAATTGGCTATGACTTTGTGTCAGAAACTGTGCTAGATACTGGGGTACAAGAATACCTAAAACAGAAGACCTGCTCTCAAAGAACAGTCTAGTGGGAGAGACTGTTAAGTCGAACGCCTGAAGTGAGGTGGGGGTGAAGGGTGGATTAGGAACTAGTCTGGTAGCCCACATACCTGGGTTGGAGTCATGGCATGCTACTTGCTTGCTGTTTGACTTGGCCAAATCTCAGCTTCAGGTTTACATATCTGTAAAGGAGGTGGAGGGAGAACTAACATTGAACAACAAATATCTTAGGTCCCTTCCGGCACTAATTTTTGAGAAACTCCCCTGGAGCTTTTTTTCCTCCTTGGCTTGACTCAGTCTTTGGTCTGTCTTTAGAATGAATGCTCTTCACCCCATCTCAATTAAAAATCCTATCCATCTTCAGTGCAAAGGCTACCTCTTCAATATAGCCTTCTCTGATTTGATCTGTGGGTGAAAAGTCTTTTCTTTGAGCCATGATACTTTGTTTCACATTGCAGGATGGCACTTATTTAGGTAGACTCCTATCTCCTTTAAACAGTAGGGAAAATCCCATATTTAAACTATGAATAACTAGACAGACTCATCAAACCTCAGACAGACTGGACCAGGCTTCAGTAGCTGCAGTGATTTCATTCACACCATCTTATCAGTCAGGGTCCTGGCAGGAAACAAATGGCACTTTACAAAGATGTGGGCAGGGTGTGGGAAACCACAAGAGAAGTGTGGAACCTTGAGGCTACAAGCTCCAAGACATGCAGAGGCAAGAGGAAGGAACAGTTACCAAAACTCAGATACAGAGAGGGCTGCTTGGCATGAGTCTATGACTTTCAGTCAAGGGATGCAGCCAGCGTAAGTAATCACCTGAGGAGGAAGCTGGGAGATTTATATCTCACTCACCTCCCTCCTCCAGTCTCCTGGTGGTACTTCCCAATGGCCAAATCCAACCAGTAACCAGAGGGCCAGGGAACATTTTATGTAGTCCCTATCAGTCAGTCTTTCAAAGGAGACACTGCATCTGGAGGGACAAAGAGGAAATATCCAGCACAGACATCATGTGGATCGTTCAGATTATCCTAATCTGAGACAGAATTGGAATTTTTCTTATTTTGTTTTTTTTTTTTTCTGAACTACTACCAGCACTAGCAGAATCCTAGATGAAATCTTGATAAAAAACCCATTGCTGTTGAGTTGATTCCAACACACAGAGACCCCATAGGACAGAGTAGAACTGCCCCACCGGGTTTCCAAGGCTGTAAATCTTTACAGAAGCAGATCGCCACATCTTTCTCCCTCAGAGCAGCTGGTGGGTTCGAACCACTGACTTTTCGGTTAGCAGCCGAGCTCATAACCACTGAGCCACCAGGACTCCTCAAAATCTTGATTAAAAAAAAAAAAACCATTGCCATCGAGTTGATTCTGACTCATAGCAACCCTATAGAACAGAGTAGAACTGACCCATAGGGTTTCCAAGGAGTGGTTGGTAGGTTCAAACTGCTGACCTTTTGGTTTGCAGCCGTGGCTTTTAACCACTGCACCACCAGATCTTGATAACCTCATAATCTGTTTTCACTGCAATTCTGGGAAAACATCTTTTCCTGCCTAGATTTTATCTATTAGAATGCCATTGGCTACAAGGAACAGAATATTCAACTAACAGTAGCTTAAAGCATGAGAGCATTTATTATGTCTTTAACATGAAGTTCAGATATAGGTAGTCTCAAGGACCCAAGCTCTTTCTGTTTTGCTCCCTTCCATCTTAGATACATTGGCTTTCTTCACCAGGCTTATCACCTCTTAGTTGCACCATGGCTGCCACAGCTCCAGATGTCACATTCTCCTAGGTCATTGTCCAAAGCAGGAAGGGAGGGAAAGTGAGTACTGCTCCCATTTTTATGAAAGAGAGAAATCTTTCCCAGAACTGCCTCCCAGTAAAATCTTCCTTATCAGCCAAAAAAATGGTCACATGCCCACTGTAGACCAGTCACTGGCAAAAGGAAATGAGATTGCCACAGTTCATTAAATTGATCATGAGTCACCCCAAACAAAATAGGGGCTCTGTTTGAGAGGAAAAAGGGGGAATAGTTGTTGAGTAGGTGCCCAGCAGTGCTTCATATGCCTCCACTAAGAATTAAAAGTTACATTGACTCTAAGGCAGAAAACGCAGTGATTAGGAGCTTGAGCTCTGGAGTCAGAATGCAAATCTCAGCCTTTCTATTTACTATCTCTGTAACTTTGGGCAAGCTATTTAACTTCACCTAACCTCAGTTTCCTCATCCACAAAATAGGTATTATAATAGTGTTTACCTAACTGGATTATTGTGAGAATTTAATGAATTTATTTGGGTCAAGCACTTACGTAACATAAGTAACACAAGGACCTGGTACACAGCAAATTGTTTTAGTTTGCTCTAATAAAATAGTAATAGTAATAAGACTAAAAGCATTGCTAATCACATTCACAATTCTGTAAGTATTAATTTCACCCATCTTAGTAAGCTTAGGTTCAGTTAAAAAAAAAAAAAAATTCTAGAAATAAGCTATCTACCCCAGTGGGTTTGTTCTGGTAGAATGGTATTCTGGAAAGTACTACATAGTTAAATGGGTCACATTATAAGCTCTGCTCTAAAATGCCACCTAATCAAATAATCAGATTGTATCCAGGCTTATCACTGCTGTTTAAACCTAATGGTTGACTTAATAGTTGTGATTTCCTCTGGGGATTATTAGTAAGCCAGATAACATGGAACCTGGTTTAACAAAAATGATGGACAGTTGAACTTGATGATCTCTAAGGTTTCTTTGGGCTATCTCTATCTAATCTATAGAGATAGATGTCTTTCTATATGAATACCGCATAAGTTATGTCCCAAGATGGCTGCAGTGGCTCCAAGTATCACATCTTCATACAACCAAGTCCGAAGATTGAAAGGAGGGAAGAGGATGTCTCCTTTCCTCATCTCCTTTTGTTAGATCAAGGAAACTTTTCTTCAGAGGCACCCAGCAAGACTTCCCCTCCAGTTCATTGGCCAGGATTGCCCAAATGCCCTTTCCTAAACCAGTTTTTGCCAAGAGCAATGAAATACCCCAATGCTAATCCAGATTCAGCCCCTGGGGCTTGGAAGGGGGCCTAGCCTCTTCTAAAACACATGGCTGCACAATCTCTGAGCAAAACCAGAGATCTTTTAATAAATATGACGAGGGGAGGTTGGCTCTTGGATAAGCAATCCACAGTGTCTGCCACAATACAATACTGATTTGCTTCTAATAATTTTTCTTTTTTTTGTGAAATGGGATGTTTGTTCTGTTTTTACAATATTGTGCCAAGTGTTCCTAATGAGAGTTAAGTAAACCCACCCCTTTATATAGAAAACTACTTCAGAATGGAAAATATAAATTTCTGATTTTTCTGAAATGACCCATACTTAGTCCTTTGTACAATTAGGGATGCCTCGTATGGTGGTACAGTTTGTGCACTGGACAACTCCGGGGATGCCACTCACATCAGAGTATATGTGAGTGGTGCCCCTGGTGTTATGCAGCACAATACCTTCAGAGCTGGACAAGGTGGCTCTGTGCAAGCCAAGTGTAGGGGGAGTTGTTAGATTTCATTTATTTTTATATTTTCACTGCTTTCTTTCATGGAAACCTGAATCTTTATTAACAGTAAGTCAAACCACCATTATTT